CAATTATTCGAATACTTCACGAAAATATTTCTAAAAATCTCAACAAAAGTATTTACAAATATCTGCTTTTTTACTATTTATCATGCATTCCATAAACGGAACAGACTTCCTGATGTTAAGACCTAAATTTGAATATGTATTAATAAATAGTAAAATGTATTTACTGTCTTCTTGTTTTTACTTCATATTAATAAAACAGCTTAATAAGACTTATTTGATGATAACAAGTAATTTGAATTTATTTTTTATCAAAATGTATACACTGATATAATTCACAGGAAAAAAAATTGCTGTATAAATTGCTTAAATTATTTGGAATCAATTTTTTATTTACAATTCATTTAATTCAAATTTTGAATCAGAATAGATTCTTGTAGTCTTAACTTTACACAAAAAATTTTAGAATTTTTATTTTAAACAAATTATTAGAATAATATTAATATAGGATGCATGCAAAATTTATATTAAATGAAAGTTGGCATTTTACTAAATTTAGATCAAATAGAAAACAAAATATTAAAAATTTTTTTCGAAATTTTTCAAGCACAAAATACAATTACAAAAAAATACAATTTTTCATTGCAAATAATTTTATTTGCAATACTTAATAACATCCAGAAATAACAAATTAATAAATGTTTATTTTACAAAATATTTATGACAAAAAAATTTTAACAATGTTGCAGTAATATCATTGAGATTAGGCAAAAAATTTAAGTAGGAAAGATGGTATTTGTTGTATAGAGTAAAAATTAAGAGTTTAATATTTGAATCTGACTTTATTTATTCAAATGAGCCAAAAAATAGTCACAAATAACTAACTTCACCAAAAACAAAGCTATATTGCTGGTGGCTAAAGATACAAATTGAAAAACATTAATCTTTTATTCTACCATAATTTTTACAGAAGTAGGCGATACAGTTTACAAGTATATAAAAATAATATGATTCAGATTGATACAGAAATAAGCAGTAAATATTTACAAAAAAAAGTAAAGTCAAATTTTGCTTTTTTTTTGTAAATATTTTAATATTTACTGAACAAATTAAAAGGAATTGAATTACTACTATTTAAATATGCTTTCAGTGTGCAATGCAAACAATGTGAAAAATAAAGTTGTTGTTCTGCAATAAAATAAATATGCAAATACACTTTACAAGTATATAAAAAGGTTTAAAAAGCGATAAATGTAAAAAAATATAGTGTATTGACTGAGTACGATATGCAAAGTATTAAAGATAATGATAGGTAGATCAAAATTTTAAAAAAAGTAAAGTTAGTTTAATTTGAAATTATTAAAGTAACTTTTATGTGGACAAGATTTCATTAAAATCACAATTACTTTGATATAGACTTAAGACAAACTTCACAAAATAAGGCGAACTATAATGCTTTACTTAAACGTACGTGTGTTTGCACAACAACAAGTACAGAACTAAATAAATGACAATCCCACTGCATTTATCATTTTTGTATGTCATACATACGCTCAGTAATCACAGATCATTAATTGTTTATGAATAGAAAATCTATGAACTATCAAAAACTGTTTATCATAGATTATAATCTCGTTAATTTGATCACAAGTCTACACACACAAAGTTATTTTTCGAATATTCACGAAAAGTTTTCAGATACAATTCAGTTACAGTTCGTTATTATTTTTTATTCAGTTTACTTACAACTATGTATTTTTAATTATTTATAGCTAAAATAGACATTAATATTCTTTTCGTTATTCTTTGCAATTATTTATTTTACAAAGTTCACACGAATAAAATATTACTATTTATAAATGACCGAAGAAATCGATGTTGACAGATATTTTAGACATTTTCCTTTAAAAAATTTGTATATAATACTGCTTTTCTTTGCTTACTCAAATACCATAATATTCGCAACTATAAACAAAATTTATCACTTCTAAGCGATAACATATTTATTCAGTCTTCGAAAAGAAGCCAAACTACAAAACATTATAAGATTTACTCAATAAAAACTATCCACAATATTTTTTAGTATTTTAAAAAGCGCCACTGAGTTGGTTACATTCATATATGCAAATTAGATTGTATTCAAGATTACAGTGCTCATTTCCTTACAATCTTGATTAAAATATATTCTTAAACAACAATTTCTTACTGAAAAAAATACCAAATATAGCAAAAAATGAAAATTATGACTCTTGAACTTACGAGTTACATAAGTGATCATACACCTCCACGGACGACTATACACGCATGCGTCATCTGATAATAATGCATTTTTCTGCAATGCACTTCTATTTGTCAGTTTTCCAAAAACAATTTCTTTTTTTACTTTAAATTTTTAATGGAATTTTTACCAACCATTTCTTACATACAAACTTGTCTATTCATTAACATTTTTTGTTTGTTCATTAACTTTCAACAACATTCAAATTATTGCAGTCAAATACTTCCTCAATTGATTTTCAACACTTCTCACGTACATTTCTCAAATGAATTCCCAGCGTTTTTCACGTATATAAAGTTTCGGTACTTTTTTATGCAATACTTGCGTTGCTGAAAAAATTGGAAAAAGTTTTTGACAAATTTTGTAACTAATCAATCAATAGTTTTTACAAGAACGCAAAGCAGAAATTTGAATATTGATCAATTTTTGTGCGCTATGGATTGATATAATTAAATACTGCAACGCGCAAGGTCACAACTTGACCCGTCAAAACTTCACGGTCACAACTTCACTTCCTGAAAATGTCGACATTTAATTCGAAGTCACCGCTTCATGCCGAAAAAATTTTAGTCTTGACTTAGCTTCAGCTGTTTGATCCCGGAGTTATTGATTGTTTGAAGTTCACAATTTTCATGGAATTCGACCTTTGACCTAAACGTCAATTGACATTCCTTTTTAGGCAGACCTCGAATCTAAACCCATCAGGTTAAGTGATATGCACAACACCACACTACAAAGCATTACACATATCTCTAAAAAGCCATAGTCAAATATTTTGTGCAACGTTGCATAATTATTTTGAATGCAACAGATGCCAATAGGAAGTTAACAGAATTCTGTTCTTACATTCAGTGTGTTATTCCTGATTTCATTCCATTCATTTCATGATTCATAAATGCGATATATTTTTTACTCATTTCAGGTCAAAGTTGAGCAGTAGTTACGTAAGATCACCACAGTTATTCAGTGTATATAGTATTGGCAGCTATAATGAGTGATGACCTTGGTGACAGAAAAATATTGAAAAATGCAGACGATCTGAAAGGTTACATTGATTTATACAGTTTTCATTTTCTGTAAAAGATTAAGTTAAGTTAAGGAATCAAATTTAAGCTAAGAATGTTACAGAAGTTATGTATCATTTTATTCTATCATCTTCGATTTGTTTAGTAAAAATATCACGTATTGTCATTCTGCACTTAATTATGTTAATGATATCATGAATTAAAGCTGTGGTTAGTTGGAATTGACAGAAAATTAAAGGGAACGATAATTGGAATTATTTTTTGCCTTGAAAATAATTTTTAATTGCAGCAAGAAGAATTGGTCGTGTAGAAGATAAGGACATACTCTAAATAGTTTGGGGTTGAAAAAATATGATTGATTGGAACAGTTTGGTTAAAAAAGTGCAAATAAATAACGCAAAATTTCCAGAAATGGGTGAAGAAATATATGAATATTTAGTCGATGCAGTAGTGCTAGAACGCTGTTTCAATGTACATCGAATTTTCAAATTAATAGGTGCCGTTCTACCTCATGGTTAGTTCTAATGATTCGCTACTTTAGAAAACAAACTAAAGGAGTGCATTTTATTTGTGATTGCAAGCTTCTTAAAAGAAGTGCTTTTCAATTTTTGAAAAAAATGGAAAAATTAAATAAAATGAAGGAAATGTTTTTATCTGCTTTTCGATGTGAATGGCAGTTAATGTAAGTAACCTAACTGGGCAATAGAGCAAGCATTATATTACTAAAACTATAAAAGATAACGAGATGTAGCTTTTTGAAACATTCATAGTTATTAGTCAAAGTTAATGGCTTATTCGCCCTATCATTATATCCTGAAACATATCAGTAAAGTATTTTTAAAGTTTTATTATTCTATAATTATTTTCAGAGACCTCTAAGGAACCAACAATAGTTTCTGATCATGATATTTTTGGCAGCGAGTCAACGTCACAAACAAAACATCAGAAAAGTATGGAGGTTGTGTGTGATGTATGTCAGCGACCTATAGCAGCAAGTCGATTTGCTCCTCATCTTGAAAAATGTATGGGAATGGGGCGGAATAGTTCAAGGTATTACGTTAGTACTGCTGTATTATAAGTTTTATTGCTCTCAGTCAAATGACTTATTCAATTGATTAAAAAGCTATTTCCAAGCTCTTAAAAGCGAGTGAATGAATGAGTAGTGGGTGTCAAATACTGAATTCTAAAAAAAAGTCTTTCAGATGCATTATAAATTGAGTTGTAGGATTGCTCAACTTCGTATTAATCAGACAATTAATTATACAAATTCGGAGAGAAAAAGACGTGCATCAACGAGTCGATCACGTCGGTTCAGTGATCAGTCCGATGTAAGGATTACAACTTTTTCATCTTCACATATTTGAACCTAAATGGTAGTTCATCCGGCAAAAAAGTATTTCTTTATGACTACACACTACTATGAAGTTGAATTAATCATATGAGCAGTCTCCATTTGTTTCATTTTAGACTAAAAATCTTTTCACCAAGAGGTTTCAAACATTTTTGAGCAACAATAATTCAAAAATTGATTCTTTCGAATTCCTCTTACATTGTGAAATTATGATAGATCAAGTAGAAAGTCGATGAAGTAATTTCAAGATAAGAGTTAAATTTAAATGTTTTGTAAAGATCAGAAAGTTCTAAGTTCAGGAAGATTCGCATAATACAGCAGCAGATGATGATGAAGACTGGGCAAGCAGTCGAAGGTCTCGGAAATCAAGGAAAACAAAACTAAAAAGTAAGATGAAAACTCGAACTCTTCTATCCGTCTGCTTCTTGTATGTTGCATGTTATCAAATACCATTCGAAGTGCTAGCATTAATATATGAATAGCACTGATTACATGCTGGTATTTTCTTTAAAGAATGGACTGCTGATTGCGGAATTATTTTCCAGTAACACTGTAGTTGTCTTAGTTGTTCTTTGAAAAAAAATACTTTATTTTAAGTTATAATCGCTTTTTCTGTGCATTTAGCAAAATCTAATTAGCTAAAACAAGATACCTGTTATTCTGCACAAGTTCCATATTTTTAACATAAGTTGATGTGTGCAGTAGATAATGAGAACTCTGAACAAATTTCTAATTATAGTAATTTTAATCATCTGATCATGAATAAAGTAACACAATCGCAGTCAAAAACGGTAAGTGACTAGCATGATAAGGTTGAGTATATTCCTGTCAATAAATTTATTTAATTTTTTAGGTAACAAAAAGAGGGTAATTAACACAAGTTACAAGAAGCAAAGAACGAAAAATAAGTAAAAGGTTTATACGATTATGTACGGGACAATCACGTTACGACTACAAGTAAAAATATTTAGTTACTAAATAAGTTTTATGATTAAAATTTTCTTATGATTGTGAAAAAAATGAGTATAATGCCTGCTACTACATAAAGCGTCCTGTTTGTGTGTATCAAAATATCGTAGGATGATTTCCTCGATAATAAATTGGATGTAAAATCTATGAAACTTGAACAATTTTTATGGATTATTATATGATCAAATTTTTACGAATGCGAGCAATATGATGTGCTCGATAACTTCCTAAATAAAGATATTCACCAGCTTCAGTTATTTGTGAGACCTCACTGATTCTTTGACCCGTCGGATCATGTGCACTAGCTATTATTTGTCCTTCTTTACTAAGTTGTAAGATCATTGCATGCTTCGTTGTTAACGTTGGTATTAGCCATCCCCAAAGACGTGCTGGTACTATCTGTATCAAAAAATCGTTGTTGGATATGTTGATGTTTTGAAAATAACTGGATGAGTAAAGAGAATTTTTAATGCGGTGTTAGCGCAACTGTAGTACCATTTTAACCTGTTTTTGCAAAAATTATACGAAAGCTTGCGTAAATTTGTTTGTATCATACCCCAAGAATGAATTTTCGTATGTATGGTTTGTTGGCAAAATAGTCAAGTACTGAAAATTGACCACTGTGGCGTATAGCTGATAAGCCTAACCAAAATGTTTGATTACTTCCTAAGCGTATATTATCTGGTAAGCCTGGTAGGTTATCAATGAAGATTTCTGTTTCGCCCATTTTAGGGCCTGCAATCCAGTGCCTGTTCATTATTCATATGTATTTTTCACCTCCAAAACTACAATGTTCTTGAGAAAAAAAAATAGAAATCTAAAAGTTCTTAGAAAAGAAAATCAAAAATCACATTTTTGCTGAAGCCTACATTTTACGTAAAAATCTACATGAAAACAGATATAGAGTAGATCTCTATGGTTACCTTATTATCCGAGCAGCTCCTGTCTCTGCCACCAAAAATGACTGCAAATCAGGAAATACTTGAATACCATTTGGGAAGAACAATTTGTCTATGATGACATCAATTTTTCCAGTGGATCGTATCAAACGAAGTACTCTAAAAACATGATTTGAATTTACAGAGAAATCATTTTACAGTGCGGAAGTTATGCTTGCACAGAATTCATACATATTAGATGCATTTCGTCTATGTATCCGGAAATATGTCAGTGCTATTCAGAAATGAATATTCACATTAGTATTCTTCGTTTTAATCCAGAAATTAACTTGTCCTAAGCAAAGAAATTTTGCTATTAAAACAATATCTAACCAATCTATTCTGCTACTGTGCGTGAAAAAAACTGATCTGACGGTACCTTCCGTTAGGGATACTTTCCAAAAGAATATTCATTAAATGACGTCGACCCCATCTACTGGAAGAATCAGTAAATAGTAAAACGTCTTCATTAATTACTTCGATATCATTCAAAAACCTTGGACGTTCTCCACGTATGTGTGTTTCACTTCCAAGAATAAGAGAGTGTTGTCCTTAACAACTTAGATGATTTGAAATGATTTGAAAATATTTCTAAAATATAGATAAATAATTACTACAAGTAAAATATATTTCTAAGCAGTAATTTCTTACTTGGAACCGAGTTCCATTTTGTTAATTGCGGTTTGCGTCATATAATAACAATTTTCTTAAATATGTAACAATATAATAATGATATAGTTTATAATTTAATACATTTTTACAAAGTAATCATAAGAATAAGATTATTTATTTTATAATAATATAATAATTCTGCCTGTCCTGTTTGACAGGAGAACTGACCATTTCAGTTGCTTTCAACATTTAATTATTAAACAATATCTCCGAAAAATGGATTTGAAGATCTTGACTATTTTTCTATAAGAATTAAGGACACCTTTCTACAAGCCTTTTTATGAAGTTTAAAATAAACGAATGACGATTAATGAGAGCCAGCGAAAGTCAAAACCACTGACTTGTTTCTAACTACTTCCTTAACCAACTGTTCATATTCTCTAATAGGTAATCCAATTTCTGTTAATGTATTAACGTATTCAATCAGTTTACCAGTAAATCAACAGATCAGCAATGGTTACCTTTTTTAAAATTAACTGAAAAAATGCCTAAATAGGCATCCGCAACTACTATGTCCTCATCATTTAATGGACGAAGACCCAACGGTCGACCACATTCGGATTCCATATTAAATCCACCATCTTAACATACTATTAATACAAATCAAACTATTAATTTTTCTTTTTTATGCCGATGTGTACAATTTTATTGAACATATTTATTTACTGTATTAATTTACTTTAATTAATCCACTGTTCAAGCTACAGAATCTTTCAAGGATTCAGAATGATCAGTTGTGAATTTTCAAATGCGAAAAGAATTTAATCTGTATTTCAACTTCTTTCGGTAAATAGAAAAAGAATCTGATAAAATTCATAACTCTATAAATATTACCACATGAATCAGAATCGAGCATCGTAAATCTGACAGAGTTCGAAATAACTCCATCTTTAATTAAAACAACCATACCATTTTGTGTTCCTGTCTTGATACCATCTAAAAGTAAAGTTAGACAGTGAAATAATAAGTTGTA